TCCATTTTCTATTATTGGTTGTTGTTTTTTAAAGCTGTTTTTGACCCACAAAATTGGTCTCTGGTCAGATAAGTAAAAATTCCTTGTGTTATTTCACACAGAGACATCTAACTCACGTTATACTACATAGTAAACATTTCTGAAAATAAGAGTATTCATCACTCTTAGTTCAAAGAAGGTTTCCTATTTCATGTAAAGCCCGTTTCGGAAAAACAGTTCCTTTTCCTGCTCATTATTCCCCATCCATGCACACACAGCGGAAGCAAGGCTTCTACATCGTAACTCCCTCCTGTCAGTCCACTGCATAAAGCTCTTCACTGGCCCCTGGCTGCCAGTCATGACAATAGCTAACACACCGTGCCGACAATGTGCCAGGCTCCCCTCACACATCCCTCACAGTACCTCGAACGGGCTGGGTTATCTGCACACCTCTCTTACAGCGATGAGCAACCAGCTCAAAGACCCACTGCTGGTGAGAGGCAGGACTAGGATTGGAACCTAAGCAGCTGTCTAGTTCTCTTGGTCACTGGGCCACAGTTACCAGTGAATCCAGCTGCTTAAAATAGTCTCCCAACCTCAGCATGCTGCCTCTTACACTCCAGCCCGCTGGATCGTTGTATGACCTCACACATGCTGTTCCCATGTCTCAAATGGGGCCTGCACTTGGTTCACTTCTACACAAGCTTCACTCCAGGAATTCCCTCACCCCCCTACACTGTCTTAGAGGTCCCCTCTGCACTCTCTCTTTCCCTTCTTCCCCACACTCCCTCTCATCCATCCATTCAATTCATTTGATAAATATTTACTGAATACTTACTCCATGCAAGGAGACAGTAGATCAACCGAAGGACTTGTATACATGCATATAAGTACAACCAACGGACATAAAACTCTGGGGAGAGAGGGTATGTATGGGAGGGAGGGGGGCAAAAAAAAATCAATAAAATATATATTAAAAAAAAAAAGGAGACATAGCAGAAAAGCATAGTTGCAAGTTAGCTCATATTTTCCAAAAAGAGGTGAAGAGGTAATAAATGATTAAATACTATGTCAGGTGGTGATACATGTCAATGAGAAAAATCAAGTGGATGGGGCGTGCTGAGGACCAAGGGGCATGTGCCTGTGTTATGTTGGGACAATAGGAAAGGGCTCGTCAAGGAGGTAAGATCTCAGCAGACGCAAAGGCAGCGAGAGACAGCATGTGGATGTCTGGAGGTGGGACAGTCCTTAAAAGAGACAGCAGCCAGCGCAAAGACCCTGAGCGGAGAAAGTGCTCGGAGGGTTGGGTGAACAGTGAGGAGGCCAGTGTGGCTGGAACAGAGGGAGCCAGGGGGAACCAGAGGAAGTGAGGTTGGAGAGGCACTGGGGGACAGAGGCGTGGAGCTCCCTTGCAGGGCATTCGCCTTTTACCCTGTGTGAGATGGGGAGCCTCGGAGGGTTCTGGGCCGAAGAGTACACTGGCAGTTTTCTGTGGCTGCTGTAAATAATGACCACAAATTATTGTCTTAAGAACAGCACACGTTTCTCCTCTTACAGTTCTGGAGGTCAGAAGTTAGAAACAGTCTCATTGGGACAAAAGCAAGGTATCTGCCGGGCTGTGTTGCTTCTGGAGGCTCTGGGCTTGTGCTCTGGGCTTGAATTCTCCAGGGGAGACTCCGTATCACCTTTTCTAGCTTCTAGAGGCCCTCCTTGTCCATATTCAGAGCCAATCGTTTCCATTTCTGTCGCCGTTCTTCTATAGTCACATCTTCTCTGACCACAGTCAGGAAAGGGTACCCACGTTTAATAATTTGTGTAATTAGTTTGGGCCCACTGGAATAATCCAGAAAAATCTCAGCAACTCAAGAACCTTACCCACATATGCAAGTCCCTTGGTCACGTAGCATAGTCACCAATTGCAGAGATGAGGACATAGACATTGGGGGGAGGGTATTATCCTGCCTACCGCAGATGACATGGTCTGACTTGAGTTTTACCAGGATCATCCCAAGTGCTCTGTGGGAATAAACTGTAGGGGACCAGGGTGAAAGCAGGGAGACCAGGTAGAGGCTGTCAGAGAACCAGGAGAGAGTGAGTCAAGGCCTCGGCCAGGGTGCCAGCGGTACAGGTGGTGAGATGCGGTTGAATTCTGGATGTTGTGAGGGTAGAGCTGACATGATTTACTGATGAACTGGATGTGGTTGTGAGAGAAGAGGAGTCAAGAATAAGCCCAAGGTTAACACCTTGGAGAGATTAAATGACGTATATCAGTAGATAGAAGAGTGGAATTCAAATTCTTATTAAATGAATGAATTATTTCCTTAAGATTAAGCAAAGACTTGGAGTTAGCTAAATATTCTGACCACATATGAAGTGGGAGATAGAGGAGAGTACATAGGTTTGTAAGTACTTCCATTTTAGCCAGAGAAAAATGATGTCAAAAAATAGCAAAAGTCAGAGCCTTAAGAATTCTCACTGAGAGTCATTGTGTGGTTTGGTTGCTGTGATGAGTGATGCAGACAATAATTGCAGAAATATTTTGTAACCACTCCAGAGGCAAAGAAGAGAAAAACAGATGACATCAGGCAGACCGTGGTGGTACAGTGCAAAATGCCCAGGCCCAAGAGGGAGGAGAGTGGGATTTTAGTCTCACGTTAGTCCCAAACACTGTTAGCCAATACACTTAAGGTATTTATTTCACCTTTCTGAGACCATTTTAACTATAAAAAAGATGCATTCCTGCCTTATCTACCTTATAGATTCTTGGGAGAAACTAAATGTATTCAGTCAATGGACACCAGGCACAGGTCATGAACCAACAGACAACATCCTCATCCTCATGGCGTTTGCATTGTAGTGGAAAGGAAGACGAACAAAAAACAAGAATACATAAGTAGATAATTTCAAGAGTAATAAATGCTGTGAAGAAAAATAAAACAAGCCGAAACTGGTTTGGCTTAGTGGATAGAGCGTCGGCCTGCGGACTAAAAGGTCCCAGGTTCAATTCCAGTCAAGGGCATGTACCTTGGTTGCAGGCACATCCCCAGTAGGGGGTGTGCAGGAGGCAGCTGATTGATGATTCTCTCTCATCAATGTTTCTAACTCGCTATCCCTCTCTCTTCCTCTCTTTAAGAAATCAATAAAAATATTTATTTAAATAATTAAATAATTAAATAAAACAAGACAGTGGTTATAGAGTGATCAGGGAGGAGGTAACATTGGAGAGAGAATTAAATTTAAAATAAACAATAAGCTATAAACTTTATAGTATAAGTAATCTGAAGAAAGGACCATCTTCTAGGTAGAGAGAACAGAACTTAAATTCCAGAGATCAGAATGAACCTGGGATTCATATCTGAGAAATAGCAAAAGTGAGTAAGAGAAGAGTGGTGGATGATGCTGGAGAGGTAGGCACTATTTTAGTTATCAAGTTGTACAACAAATTGAGTTCATTAATGTAACTTTTCTAATCTAGAATCTGCAATTTACTTTTTAAACAAAAGTTACATATAAAGAACATATAAAGAAAACCATTGTTAAACAAAAAATAAATATATACTTATCATACAGAAAGTATTACAGAATTCAGACAACAAATGAAATTAGGCTGCCTCACCTCAAAGTTCTGAATGATTTAAAAGTGCTTAAATATAAAGGGTTTATATAAGCAAAGAAGGGCTTTATCTATACATTGTTCCTTCCTTTAGCCAACCCTCCTCATCCCTAGTGATTCTTCTTGGTCCAAATAGTCCTGGTGAGGAGTAAAATGAGATGCAGATCTGCCAAGAGTCCTCCATCCACACTCTGCCATCTGCATCCCTGCCACCCTCCAAAGTGTAGGCACATAAAACCCAGACTGGGCCAAATCAGAGTCCTTGGGATTTTTGCCAATCTGTAGGGAAAGAATCCTCTCTCTCTCTCTCTCTCTCTCTCTCTCTCTCTCTCTCTCTCTCTCTCTCTCATCTCATGCTTCTGAAAAATGCTGTGCAACAGGTACCAGCAGCCAGCTCTACCATTAGCTGGAGAGAATGAAGGCCAACACAGAGAGAAGTAGAGTCAAAATGTGGAGACAGCCTGGCCAAGAATTCAGCCATAGCTAACATCAGATCTACCTCTGTTACAGGAGGCATAAATTCTATTTTGATTAAGAATTTGGTTTCTGTCACTTGCACCAAATGTGACACTCTTGATATATATACTTTCTATGAAAGACACTCTGTTTTTCTAAGACATCTGCAATAGTCTGTGTCTATACAACATTCTTTATATAATGCTTCAAGAATTGGACATTTTTTAAAAAAAATCAATACTGACATGCACAATGAACAGATAAAAGCAAAAAATCTACTTTAAGGCACAGACTTTGTCAGTATTGTTGTTAGCCCATGTTTTCAAACCTACAGAGGACCTCATGCTAGTATTGAAGGTACCTTAAGAATGATCTAAGTCATGTCATGCTTTCACTGTATTTGTTACTATTTAGGAAAAATGACTTCAATTCCATGTAGAACCATGGCCGTGCTTTCTGCCATCTCTGTGTAACAATAAAAAGGCACCATCTGTTTTCAATAGTGCAATGTGCACCCATATCCACAAATCTACCATAGTCCATGTTTTTATAACTTCTCCCTTACTTTTAAAATATTTAGCAAAGCCTAATTTTTTCAGTTTGAATATAGGAAGGAAATTAGAGTAATGTGTAATTGAAGCAATCCAGGCTGAGAACAAAACTATTCTAAAACCCAGTTGCCAACCAGCTACTCAATCACCTACCTTACGTAATTTGTTCTTTTGGTATCGAATAGCAGCCAAAAACAAATTCTCTTCAAAACTGGATCAAGATGCATGTGGTATGGATTAAAAAATGCTATTAAATAAGTCTTCCCATATAAATAAATAGCTTAAAATGAACTAGGCAGAATAAAAAGCCCTGAGGATTTATGAAAATTTGGCAGAGATGTGTATCATTTAGGTTATGTAAGAAACTATCTCGATAATAAATAAACACAATGAAAAATTCCTTGGGTAAAGCACAGCATGTTTTACCACTTGAAAAAGCACGTAAAAATGTTTGTTTTTTATTTTTAACCTTTCTAAATTCAGGCACCCACTGCCTTCAATAAGCTATTTTTGGTGACAGTACAGTGTTCTGACACCTTTTCTTTGAATAAAATAGACAAATCTGCTGAAATTAACATTTAAATCTCCATGGACCCACACATCACTTAAAAATATAAAATATCATTGTGTTTTTCCTCTAACCAGCATTTGGAAGCAGGCGGCTGTTCCAGCCAAGCCTACTCCAATCCTGAGAGAGAGACCATGTCATCACTATTCCCTACCTCCACGGATTATAGCAAGGCCTTGCACAAGGTGGAAAAACTCAGCTCAATTTAAACTGAATAGATGTGTCTGCGGTAGCCCAAATCCATCTGTTGGAATCTGCATATAGATAATACCTTGAATCTGCATATAGATAATACCTGCTAGTTTGCTTGGTGTTCGAGATCTAGAGAAAAGAGGATGGAAGAGGCATGGAATTGTAATTTTTTTTTTTAATTTTTTTTTTACATCCAATAGAAAAACAGGTTCAAGGTATTAGAATCTAAGAAACCCTTCTTCTTGATCCCTCCACTTTTATCCAGCTGTAAACTGACTCTGGGCTCTGTCATTACAGATTGGTGTCACATACTAGTGCTTCACTCGTCAATATACCTCAAGACTCATAATAATTGAACATCTATTGTGCACCTTTGTATGTGTTAGAAAATATAAGAAAGATGTCATTAGTCCAGAGGAAGAAAAGACAGGTATACAAATAATTATAACATGGAGCAGAACAAGATAAGGGAGAAATAAGCATGCTATATACTGGGGACTCAACGGGGAATAACATATATTAGAAAGTTCGATGAAAGAGGTGGAATTTGACCTATAAGTCAGAAAAGATCATGATGGAGGGTTGATAAAGAAAAGGAAATCAAGAAAGTAAGAACTATGTTAGATAAAAAAGAGCAGTCTAATTTTAAATATATATACTTTTTTATTGATTTCAGAAATAAGGGAGAGTGAGAAAGAGATAGAAAAATCAATGATGAGAGAGAATCATTGATCAGCTGCCTCCTGCATGTCTCACACTGGGGTTGGAGCCCGCAACCTAGGCATGATCCCTGACCAGGAATTGAACCATGACCTCCTGGTTCATAGGTTAACAGTCAATTGCTGAGCCATGCCAGCCGGGCAAGCAGTCTAACTTTATCCAAACCCAGGGACATATAGAGGTTAGCAATATGGCTGGAAGGTGGACCAGCACCATAATATAAAGGATCTAAAAGCAAACTATTTAGATTTTATCCTGCAGGTGTAAAAGATCCAGGAGCTTCTGAACCAGGAATATTGCCTTTTAAAAAAATATTTTTTATTGATTTTTAGAGAGAGAGGAAGGGAAAGGAATAGAGAGATAGAAACATCGACGAGAAAGGAAAATTATCTGATGGCTGACTCCTGCACACACCCCTATTGGGGATTGAGCCCGCAACCCAGCATGTGCCCTGATTGGGAATAGAACCAGCAATCTCTTAGTTCCTGGGTCAGTGCTCAACCACTGAGCCACAGTGGCTGGGCTAAACCAGGAATATTGTAATATATTATTACATCTAAGAGGAAATTAACATCTAGGAACAGACTGGATGTGGCTTAGCAAGGGTAACAGAATCCTATTTAATAAAAGGCTAATATGCAAATTGTCCCCTCAGGAGTTCACGGCTCACTATGACATGTGCTGACCACCAGGGGGTGGTACAGAAAAAAGAGCTGGCAGCTGGAGAAGGAAGGCCCGGGCCAGCAGCCGGAAGGTCCCAATTGGCCCTGATCGTGGGCATGAATTTCATGCACCAGGCCTCTAGTAGTTATATAATAAAGGACAGATTTGCAGAGAATCTGTAAAAAGGACAGATAAGTGACATTTTGAAGGTAATATTGACAGCTTAGTGATTGATAAGATGTAAGGGTGAAGTCAAAGAGGGCATAAAAATTGAGTTCGCATGGTAACATGACAGGAAGACACTGCTTCACGACTTCGGTGTTGTTTAGTAGAGGAAGTTTATGTTTAGTTTTGTACACATTGAGTTTAAACAAAAGAATGTAAGCTTAAAATCTGCTTTTTCTCAGATATGTCTTTGAAAAAAATCTGCTTTGATTATTGAGTTCCAAAATGAGCTCCAAGCTTTATAGCTGTGCTCAAGTGTCTTGTTTTGGGTATATACTCCTTTCTCTAAGACCTGACACTTTTACTGTCCGAAACTTCATGTAACAAAAATAGGGGGTGGTAATTGTAAATGTTTTTCTCAATAGCCTTTTTTCCCCCCAACAGTAAATATTTTAATTTTAACTAAATTTTTGATGCAATAACTTTTGTTAATAAGATGTGTGAACAAAGAACCATAAAATTTGGGGTTCTAACTTAATATTATATACTAAAGCTTCTGACCCTAAAATTAATTTTTCAATTGTTGTGCCATCTGTTTAGAAACTAATTAATGGTTTAAAAATAGATGATCTTTTGAAGGCACACAACATGAAAAAAATGGAAAATATTAATAAATCTCATAAACCCACACTATCTAAAAACACTAAGTAAACCTGAACTGCATTATAATGTGCAATGGTAAGGAGGGAGCTACTTAGAAAAAACAAAAAGCAGTAAAGCAAGGTTATTGATTAGGTACTTTCAGAGGTCTCTTTCAAAATGTTATTGCTGATGATTAATTTTATGTATTTTTTAAAAAATGTATCTTTATTGTTGAAAGTATTACAGATGTTCCCATTTCACCCTTCCATTGACCCCTCCACCCCACTCTCACCCCCTCCCTAGGTCTTCACCGCACTATTGTCAGCGTCCATGGGTTATGCATATCCTAGATAATAAAAGCATAATATGCTAAATGTCCAACTGTTCATTTGACCATTTGTTCGATCATTCCACCAGTCACTATGACCACCAAGAGGCAGACGCTCTAACCTAGGGGTGTCGAACTCAATCAGAGAAGGGGCCAAAATCTAAAATCCAGCCTAAATCGCGGGCCGAATGGTTTACTGAACAGTCATAAACTGTCATTGTGATGGAAACGCAGCGGAGTGCAGTGATGACAGCGCGGTGCGGGCCACATTGCAAGGCCTGGCGGGACAGATTTGGCCCGCGGGCCTTGTGTTTGACACATGTGCTCTAACCGATAGGTTAGTTTGCTGCTGGAGTCCAGCCGATCAGGACTGGGCAAGATGGACTGGACATGCCCTGGAGCCCTCCCATGTCCCCCCCTAGCTGGCCAGCTCCAATTGGCCCCAATCACTGGCCAGACCTAGGGACCCCTCGGGTGCATGAATTTGTGCACAAGGCCTCTACTATGCATGTAAATTCTTTGGTTAATCTCCTCCTCCACTCTTTTCTCTCTAAAATATGTTAGTCTGTTGCATGCGTCAATGTTTCTAGATCTATTTTGGTCATTAGACTCCACCTATAAGTGAGATCATGTGAAAATTGTCTTTCTCTTACTGGCTTATTTCACTTAGTACATAATACTCTCCAGGTCCCTCCATGCTCTCTCAAAGGGTAAGAGATCCTTCTTTTTTATAGATGCATACTATTCCATTGTGCAAATGTACCACAGTTTTTTATCTATTCATCTACTGATAGGCACTTGGGCTGTTTTTAGATCTTAGCTATTGTAAATGCTGTTGCTATGAAAGTAGGTAGAGGTGCATATATTCTTTCTGATTGTGTTTAAGGCTTCTTAGGGTATATTCCTAGAAGTGGTATCACAGGGTCAAATGCCAGTGCCATTTTCAATTTTTTGAGGCGACTCCACACTATTTTCCACAGTGGCTTCACCAGATTGCATTCCCACCAGCAGAGTCAAGAGTTCCTTTTTCTCCGCATTCTTGCCCGCACTTGCTATTTGTTAATTTATTTAAATATATTTTTATTGGTTTTAGAGAGGAAGAGAGAAAGAAATAAAAACATCAAGGATGAGAATCATTGATTGGCTGCCTCCTGCACACCATCCTGCAACCTGGACATGTACCCTAATTGGGAATCAAACTGTGACCTCCTGGTTCATGGTTGATACTCAAACAATGAGCCACACTGGAAGGTTCTTTTAATTTGCATCTCTCTGATAATTAATGACATTGAAGATTTTTTCATATGGCCCTTGGCCATTTGTGTGTCCTCTATAGAGAAACACAATAGAGAGTGTCTATTCAAGTCCCTTGCCCATTTTTAAATTGAGTTGTTTTCCTTTTGTTGAGATGTTTGAGTACTTTATATATTTTGGAAATTAACACCTTAGATGTATCATTGGCAAATTTGTCTCTCATACAGTAGGTTCCATTTTCATTTTGATACTGGTTTCTTTTGCTGTGCAGAAGCTTTTCAGTTTGATGCAGCCTCATTGCTGATGATTAATTTCTAAACTTTATCTTGTAATGTGCATTCATACCTATATACAAGAGACAAAATTCCACTTCCTAACCCCTAAATCAATACTAAAAAATTTGTTAAATGTAAACATACAAATATCTGCTGAACTTCATCTATTTTCCTATCTCCATCTTTTCTTCTACAACTAAACTGCTTTTCTTTAATATGTTTTTTTAAAATTGATTTTAGAGAGAGTAAGGGGGTGGGGGTAGAATAAGGATGTGAAGGAGAAACATCAATCTGATGCCTCATGCACATCCCCTACTGGGGTTGGGTTTGCAATCGGCGCCCTGACTGGGAATCCAACCAGAAACCTTCTGATGCATGGGGATGATGCTCAACCAACTGAGCCACACCAGCCAGGCTATAACTAAACTTCTTAAACAAGTGCCTATATATGCAGTATCTGTTTCCATATCTTCCACTCATTCCTCAGCCCCTGCAACATAGCTTCCACCTTCACAAGGCCAATTAAGTTAATTCTCAAGGTCATCATGAGACCCTAAATCTAATGAAGACTTTGTCAAGTTAGCCCTTTTGTTTGGGGGAATTAAATGAGTTAATTTATGTAATATACTTAATATATTGTAGTATTTAAAATATTAAAGATATGTTCCAAACTGATCTTTAAAAAATATATATGCTGACCAATGTCACCCAATACATTAAAAAAAATTACACACTTCTTCACTTTAATATGAGGCTAATTCTATATTGAGAAACACTTTTTACTATATTATGGAGAAACACTTATAATTTTTGTTCTATTAAACTTGGAGAGATATATATCTTCACTGGGGATCAAACCTGCAACCCCTCAACCTTTTGGTGTATGAGAAAAAACTTCAACCAGCTGAGCCAGGGCAAAAATCATATTTTATTGGTCTATCAGCACCCCTGACTATAAGTAAATCAAGCAAATGGATCTTTTCATCTTTTAAAATAACTGAAAAGTAATCACATTTTTACTCACATTTACTACTAACTCAGAAAAATATCTAAAAGAAGAATTAGGGAGGTCATGCAAAGAT